CGCTGGGGCAGCCGCCCTCCCAGAGCACTCCATCCCACCCAGCACCGCGGACAACCCCCTGGGCTGCGCGGTCTACGGCATCCTGCTCCAGCCAGACCCCGGTCTGCAGCACCACCAGCACGCCCCGATCCAGGCTGGAGAGCCTTCCCACAAATGTGGCGTGTGTGGCCACGACCTCGCTCACCTCTCCAACCCCCATGAGCACCAGTGCTTGCCAGGCCATGACCGCTCTTTCCAGTGTACCCAGTGCCTGAAGATCTTCCACCAGGCCACCGACCTCCTTGAACATCAGTGCATCCAGGTGGAGCAGAAGCCTTTCGTGTGTGGGGTCTGCAAGATGGGCTTCTCCCTCCTGACCTCGCTGGCACAGCACCACAACGTCCACAATGGCAATGCCATGAAGTGCTCTATCTGCGAGAAGACCTACAAGCCTCCCGAGGCAGAGCATTCGCAGCCTCTCGACCCCTCGGAGAAGCCCTACAGCTGTTCCATCTGTCAGAAAACCTTCAAGCACCTCTCGGAGCTGTCCCGGCACGAGCGTATCCACACGGGTGAGAAGCCGTACAAGTGCACACTGTGTGACAAGAGCTTCAGCCAGTCATCCCACCTGGTGCACCACAAACGGACACACAGCTCCGAGCGGCCCTACAAGTGCACGGTGTGCGAGAAGACCTTCAAGCACCGCTCCCACCTGGTGCGTCACATGTACGCGCACTCGGGGGAGCACCTCTTCAAGTGCAACGTCTGTGAGCTGCACTTCAAGGAGTCCTCCGAGCTGCTGCAGCACCCCTGCACGCCCAGCGGGGAGCGGCCCTTCCGCTGTGGGGAGTGCCAGAAGGCCTTCAAGCGCCCCTCGGATCTGCGGCAGCATGAGCGCACGCACAGCGAGGAGAGGCCCTTCAAGTGCGACCTCTGCCAGATGAGCTTCAAGCAGCAGTACGCGCTCATGCGCCACCGCCGCACGCACAAGGCGGAGGAGCCCTTCAAGTGCAACCTGTGCGAGAAGGGCTTCGTGCAGCCCTCGCACTTAGTGTACCACCAGCACGTGCACGGCATAGAAAATCTCTTCAAGTGCAACGTGTGCCAGAAAGGCTTCAACCAGTCCTCGGAGCTGCTGCGGCACAAGTGCGTGCAGAACGCGGAGCGGCCCTTCAAGTGCGCGGTGTGCAACAAGTCCTACAAGCGAGCCTCGGCTCTGCAGAAGCACCAGCTGGCCCACTGCGCCGAGAAGCCGCTCAAGTGCACGCTCTGCGAGAGACGTTTCTTCTCCTCCTCGGAGTTCGTGCAGCACCGCTGCGACCCTGCCCGTGAGAAGCCCCTCAAGTGCCCCGACTGTGAAAAGCGGTTCAAGTACGCCTCGGACCTGCAGCGCCACCGGCGCGTGCACACGGGCGAGAAGCCCTACAAGTGCCCCTCCTGCGAGAAGGCCTTCAAGCAGCGCGAGCACCTCAACAAGCACCACAGCGTGCACGCCCGGGAGCAGCAGTACAAGTGCATGTGGTGCGGGGAACGGTTCCTGGACTTGGGCCTGCTGCAGGAGCACAGCGTGCAGCACACGGCTGAGGGCGCCTACCAGGTGGCTGCCTGCTTGCCGTGAGCCTCCTGCCCCGCGGCGGCTTTCAGCTTGCATGTGACACTCCTGAGCCTCGGCCTCCCCTTCCCTCTCCTCGGTTGTAGACGACCTCCAGGGAGTCTGGGGGAAAGGGGAGGTATGGTGGGTGGGCAGGTAAACTTTCCTCTGGCCTCCACGGTTGATATGCCACCTGCGTCACAGTGGCAACAGACAGTGTGAAAGTTTTGAAGGGGTGAAGAGGAAAGGAGGGAGATGGGGAGAGGAGACGATGCCTGGCATTCCCTGGACTGTAGTTCGTGCTGTACCTGCAGTTCCAGTGCAGGGAGCTCAGCTGACCGCTGCAGGCACCAGCCCTTCGCGTGCGGCCTTCTCTCCCTGCCCTGCCTGGCAGGCTCTGTGGGGAGGGCTGGGTGACTGTCCTCTTGGAGAGGGCTTGGGAGCAAGGCAGAGTCAGCCCTCCCTTCTCCCAGGGTGTGCTGCTTAGCACAGAAGTAGCAGGTTTCCACTGCTGGGATCTCCCAACTTTCTTGGTCCAAACTCAGTTCAGAGGACCATTTCAGATCATTAGTGTTGATTGACTACCCTAACCTCCCCTGCTCTCCCTCTTTCTAGAGTGTTGAAAGGGAAAAGCCATGGGGCTGCACAGCTCCAAAAAGCACTTTGGCATTGCTGCTTTTGCAGTCGCTGGCTGTCACACTCTGCAAGGGTTCTGAGCAAGCCTGCCCACCCCGGTCCCTGACAGCTCACGGGGAACAGTAGTAAGCGCTGAGCCACTATCAGAGAGCATGGCAGCATGGCACGGAGCATTGGAACAGGCTGCCCAGGGAAGTCGTGGATTCTCCCTCTCTGGAGACATTCAGAACTCACCTGGCTGTGTTCCTGTGCCACCTGCTTTAGGTGACCCTGCCTTGGCAGGGGGGTTGCACTAGATGATCTCCAGGGGTCACTTCCAACTGCAGCCGCCCTGTGATTCTGTGAAAGCATCTGTGCCCTGCTCCCAGCTGAGAGTGTGGCATTGTGGAGCTGCTTCATGAGGAACCTAGCTCTCCTCCTGAGACTTATCTCCACCCCCAGGCTCCTGCCCTCTGTACCCTTTGGGCCATTAGCATACCTCCAGAGGGGTCAGGCAAAGGGCCATCCCAGTAGCTCCAACACTAATGGGTGATATGAACACTACTAATAACCTACAGCTGTGGAGCTGTTGCCATCACCAGCGATAACCCATGGCGTGTGCCAGGGGATTGGTGTCTGATTTGCTGGGAGGAACCAGAGCGAGCCAGGAGAATCCCTTCTGGCCTGCAGGCTCAACTCCACGGGGAGGGGAAGGTTAGTAGTTGGGTAAAGGAGGAGTGTATTTTTTCCCTTCTTGTGGGAGTCCTGTTTTACCCTTTATTCTTTCTTTACCTCTTCTGTATTTTTCAGGTTTTGCACACTTCTTGTAAACATCACTTAAAAATAAATCTCCCCTAGGTTGATGCAGCCTCAGGTGTTTTCCTCTGCAGAAATTTGCTGACTTCTCATGATCAAGAGACCCATTATATGCCAGTTAGATGCCTTGGAGGAGGAAGGTATGGTTACTAGGTTGCCCACTAGCCTTCCCCTCTCCATCTTCAGAAATATTAAGATGTTAAGTGTCCATCTGTGGAGATACTCAAGCCCTGACTGGATGTTGTCCTGGACAAGCTGCTGTAGCTGACCTTGCACGAGCAGGGGATCAGACCTGATGATCTTCAGAGGTCCCTGCCAGCCTCAGCTCTTCTATGATCTTGGCTGGTGCCTGTATGAGGTTGTGACAAGCTGCACATAGTGAGTAGCAGCTAGTAAGTTGCCCTTGTGCTGCACAAGTGATTGGGACAATAAATGTTGTCCATGGCAAGCATAGACACTAACCTTGCAGAGGATTGGACTGGGCCTGCATTGCTGGTGGGCAGTGCTCATCTGAAAGGTGGAGAAAAACTTTGGTTTCCATCTCCAGCACAGTGAGTGGAACAGGGTGTGTTTTGGGGGACTGGGACACAACAGTGACAGATCAGACCCTGGGGCTGAGTCTTCTTCATGTGCAGCTTTAAGGTTAGAGCACACTTTGCTCTCTGCTGCCCAAGGAAGAGGAACTGGTGATGGTTATCTTACTTCATGCTGCCTCAAAGATGTAGAACTTCCTACCAAGTTTTCCATCTGTGTTTCTTTTTTTCTCTTTTCTTTTTTTTGCCTTTTTTTAAAGCAGTTTGTTAAAATTCATTACAAATACTGTATAGTTTTACTTGATGTCATACTGCATCCTTTGAAAAAAAAAGATGTGATAACTTGGATTTTTAAAGAGCTCTTTGATTCTAGGTAGCTGTTTTTTGCTGTTTAGTATGTAGTAAGTTCAGTGTATGCTTTACTGTAGGAGTAAAAGCGTTCAAACCAAGGAAGGTTAATCCTGTCTTTACAGAAAGGCTTAGTGGTGATGGAGGCTGCAGGTGTGGGACCAGATGGGGATTGTGGCACCCACCTTGAACTGTGGTTTGCTTTGCTCTTGCGCACAGCAGTGTGGCACAGCTGCCACAGGTCCCACAGAGCCAGAGGTTCAGTGGTAACCCTGAGCACAGCACCAGCAGCCAGGGTCAGTGCCCAGAGCTGGGAGCAGAGAGGCTCATCTGCAGTAGGAGGAGGATGTGGAATGGAGGTGGCTGGAGTCCTCATGGGCTTTTCTGGCTGTGTTTCTTTCTGGGGCAGCTGCTGCCTAGAGAGGGGTTTGTAGAAATTATGAGCATGGCTGCTGGCTGGCTGTGCCCTGCTCTCTTCCCTCCGTAGGGACCCAGGGAGCTGCCTGGGTAAATGCCTGGTACTCGGAGCAGAGGGGGATGGTTGTGGGCCCTGGATTCAGCTCTACACCATGTCCTGGCCACGATGCTGCCAGATCCTGTCCACTTGGCACCAGCTGGCCATAGGGACTGTTGGGGAGCGTTTCCCTTTTGCTGAGCAGCTGGGAAAGCCCTGAATGTCCCAGTGAGGAGCTCTGGCTCAGCTTAAGAGGTGGCAACAGCCAAGCAGTGCCCTGGGTAGAGAGACTCATCAGGACTATGTGTGGGGGCCCCTGTGCCTGGGAGAGAGGAAATACCGTGGGGAGCTCAGCGGGGATGAGCCCAGGTCTAGGTCATCAGCCAGTGCCTGTGAGGAGGTGCCTCTGGGTTTGAAAACATCTTGGTGTGGCATTCGAACATGATTATCAGGACTGGCCATGAGCCTTTGGTAACTCAGTCTCTGTCTTTTTTGCTGCCCTGCAACAGCCCAAATCCAGTAGAAGCTCATGGAGGATTCAGCTGCCAGACCTCGGTGCTGGCAGGTGGAGGATCTGTGGGAAGCAAGTGGCTCAGCAGCATCCGAGAGCCTCAGGTGTGTTTTATAGGAGCATTGCTCAGTTGGAAGCAGCAGTGTTGTGGACAGGCAGGCTGGTACAGTGCGTCGATCTGCATTGCTGTGCCTTTAGGTCATGTTTTGCACCATGAGGTGGGAGGTGATGGAAATAGCAGGAGGCTGTCAGGAGCACAGTCCTGGGTGGGGAGGCAGGGGCTGGCCTGGGGAGCTGTTGTCCTCGGGCATCATACTGCAGACTGCTCTCTGCTAACTGCTGGTGTTTCCTTTTCAAACCAAAGAGCAGTTGTGGCCAAAGCCTCTTGGGAGTAAAACATGTTTCTACTCTATACCTGTGTTGCGCTTCACTTCTGACATTTATTTCAAGCAACTTTCAGGCTTCTGTTGCTGTGCTGGAGTTGGTGTTTCATCAGCCCTGTGGCACGTGCTTGTGCCTGTCTTCAAGACCTGGTTGCCAGACAGTCTGAGGATGCTCTGTAAGGTTGGATAGCAGATGGTCGCTCTCAAAGGGTGATTGGTTCTCTTCAGGAGGCAGCCTGAGCATAGGGTGCAGCTGGAGAGGTGGCAGGGGGGGTTAGGATGGGCAGAGGTAGTGTGGATGTTGTCCAGGACATAAATCCTGCTCTCTAGGGTTGCTGTTCCTCTGGCTTCCCAGGTCCAGGAAGGAAGACCTGGGCTTTTTTCCAATCTTTACTTCCCTTTACCCTACCTACAGGATGCCTTTAGCTGTGTCTCAGCCCCTTCCCCTCCACAGTTATTTGGCTTACACTTTTTAAAGACCTTCTCAGCTTCTTTTCCCTTTGTTCTTTATTTGTAAGCAGTGGTTTGTTTTTCATCCCTTTCTCCATGCTGATTGCGAAGTCTCTTCCCTTGTTCCCACTGACCCTCCCAAATTCCTCTCCCAGGAACCAGGTGATACCAAACCACTGATAGTGAGGTCAGGTGTTTGGGATCTGAACCTTGTTGGAATCCAGTGGGTGCTTCTGGTCCTTCCCTAGGTGAGGCCTTCTGTCTCGCTGGGCATGGGTGATGCCTGTGGTCTGGCAGCTTGGCTCAGCCAAATCCTGTCCATGGTACAGCTCTGGTGAGCGAGTCCGAGCCAGGACAGGGAGCCAGAACAGAGCTATAGGAAATGGGAACTGGGGTGAGAGTGACCATTTCTGTGGTGGGTTCCTTTGCCACATCTCCAAGGCTGCAGATTAAGTCAGTGAAGGACACTCAGGTATTCCTGGGGACAGGTCATGGCTCTGGGGTGGGCTCCGGCTGCTTAGTCGGTTCCCCTGGGAATGCCTGTAGAGCTGTGGCATGGACATTGCTGGCATCGTTGGGTATGTGCTGATGGCCCTGCCAGCTCTCTGGCAAGCAGATGCCATCCCTGTGATCTGCGTGGGAAGATGTACACACTCTGGTGTTGGGACCCACATGCCGGAGTGGGGGGCAGAGGAGGAAGTGTCTTCTGACAGTTCTGGGACCATATCTTTGGTTGCTCAAGCCTGCCCTTGCAGGGAAGAGAGGAGAGAGGAGAGCACTTTCTACACTTCTCTTGGGTATTTACCATCAGATCTAGGCTGCAGCCAAAGCCTGGCTATTAATAACAGGAAAACCCCCCTTGTTATTCTTCAGAGTTTGACTCTTTCTCCATTGGGTGGTGAGTTCACCTGCAAGAAGGTTCCTGCACATGCAGGTGAAATGTTGAGATGCAATAACGACAGGTCGGCGAGGTTTGGGGCCAGCAGCTCCCCCCCAGGTCTGGTGAGCACAGCTTCTCCCCAGCTGCCAGACTTCCTCTGCAGCACCTCCCGGCAGCCGCCTCTGCCGCACTCCGGGTGTGAAGATGCTGCTCTCACAGCGTGCCTGGGATATTCGGCAGGGGGAGCAGGACCACAGGTGGGAGCTGGACTGCGGACTTGTCTCTGAATGCCTCCAAGCCGTGGATCTGAGGGACTTCATGGCCAGTGAGGTTCTTGGGCTCCTCCTAACCTGCACTTACGCCTCCGTCAGAGTTCCCAGGGCTGTGGGAAGTTGCAGCAAGGTTGATGAGGTTTGTGTGGCTTGCAGTGCCTTTAACACTGCTCTCCGTGTGTTTCTAAGATGATGTTCCATATATGTGTGTATATATATTGTATTAACACATCCCGCTCTTCTGTGTGAGTGTCAAATGGTTTTGCTTTACTAATAAATTTATAGTTATTTATACCTTCCTGTGGGTGTGTAAGATTTCTGGAGTGGAAGGCCATGTGTCAGGCCCAGCCTCCCCGTCTGTCTTTGTGCTCTGTTTGGCTCTGCTTGATTTATTTTTTTTCACATTTTCTTTCTTTCCCCTGAACTTTTTTGATGGAGAAGTGATGGTTCATTTTCCTGGTAACCAAAAGCCAAGATGCAGAGTATGGGCCAGGCTCCCAGGGGCCAAAAGCAAATGCAAGCAGAGTCTGCAGTGTGGTTTTGCCCCTGGCTAGAGGTGGGGCACTCCCTCCTGGGGCACAGCACCTCTCCTGGAGCTTCAGGGCAGGAGCAGGCAGCAATCTCTGCCTGCCAGAAAGGAGCACCTGTTCCGGAGGCAGAAGCTGATGCATGTTGTGCTCTGAGGACCCCAGCCCCACACACAACTGAGCTTTTCCAGAGATTTGTTTTGCGTCCCCCCACCCTGATAGCAGGGGTCTGCTGTCTGCAGACAACCTGACTTGCTTCATCCCACACCCAGGCCAGGTGAGATGTGTGTTTGTCTCTGGGTCACTGAAGAAATGCTTCTGTGCCGGTTTCCCTAGCTGTGAATCAAAAGCTGCAGAGGTGCTGGGACCAGGCAGGTTGGGTACTTGTTGCCCACCAGGCTGGAGGCACCTGTGGGGCCAGGGAAGCAGGAATTGAGCCAGGGGGCTCCAGCACTGCTCTGGGAAGCTTTGGCCAAAGACAGAAGCTGGTGCTGGGTGTTGAGCAGAGAAATTGTGCTGGTACTTGGATTCCAGGGTGTGACTGTGCCCGAGATTAGGGGCAGTGGGCAAGGCCGGCAGTTGCGCAGGGCTGGAGGTAAACGGATCAAGCTGCAATTGGCAGGCTCAGCAAGGGGAGGCTTAGCTCAACCCAGCACTGATTTGCCACCTCCTGCCCTGGGTCCTCCCGGGCTGGGGCAGAGCTGTGGGTGGGGCACCCTCAACACATCACCCTCAGCACATCACCTTGTGTCACCCCACGGGGTTTCAGCAGCCCCAAAACACATCCCTGTGCCCACCTGCACCTGGACAAGATGACTGCCTCCCCCACAGTGCTGTAGGTGAGTGCCTGGGGTAGCTTTGGTAGCTCCTGGGATTTTGAGAAATCTCCAACCTGCTCAGTTTGGGGGTTTTATTTGCAGTATCCTGCGCCAAAACTGGGCTGGTTGCTGGGAGCCAGGGCACTCAGGACAGCTGGGTGCCAGTAATCCCATTTGTAGGCAGCACAGGGCTAATCCTTGCAGAGCCCTGAGCGGATTGTGGTGGGTTTGGGGGGGTCAGTGTCGAGGTGCAGTGGCCAAGGGAGCCCACGCATGCCAGGGGTGGCTTCCCAGGGAGGTGGTGGTGAGCCTGCAGGGGTAAGTGGCAGCGATGGAAACGAGGGACTTGGCTGGGGTTTCTGCAGAGCCACCTCTGCATGTCGCAGCAGGGTTTGGTGCTCCGAAACAGAGCCGGAGGATGAGCTGTCGGGGGAGAGAGCAGGTCCGTGGGGAGTGATGCTGCAAGGGCAACGGAGCTGGGTAATGCGGAGGGTTTGATCCGCTGCTGGAGGGGAGGGAAAGGCCGTGGGGTGTTCCCTGCTCTGAATGGGGACAGTGGGTCTGTGCCCCACTTCTTGGTGTTGGAGATGAGTCTAAGGCCCTTTGCCCACTTGGCACAAGCCCTGTGGAACTGCCACAACAGGTGGTGCCACCAGTGGGTGCCTGTAACGGGGGGTGCATGAGACCGCCAGCTCTTCAGTGCCCTTGCTGGAAAATCCTGCCCACTGATTCCTATTTCTTCCAGCAGCTAGATTTTTGGGGACCCACAAATGTTTCTGTTCTTTTTTTTTTGTTCAGATGTTCCAGAGGAATGGCCTCTGCCCTCCACTTTCCTTCCCAGACCAGGGACAGGTTTATGCTACAAGCTTTTACAGCTGCGCAAGCTTATGTTGAGGGAGGAGGAGGCCTTGACTCTCAAGGGGGGCTCGCTGCAGCCCCACGGGGCTTTCTCTGGGATTGTTTGGGCTCAGTGGTACATGTTGACCCTGGGCTTCTTTGTGACCCATGAAGGTGCCGAAGCATGAGTGGAAATGCCTCTGCTGCATGGCACTGCCAGGTTTTCCTCACTGTTCCTGGGGCATTTAAAGCTCTTGAATCCCTTATATGCAGTGGGATGTAAAAGGCAATTGGTTTCTGGCTGTTGGGCTTCTTGGGAAATGTTTTACAGCCACACTGTCCAGCTTTGAGGATGTAGCAGTCTTGGGGAGAGCTGACCCTACCTGTAGCATGCTGGGGACTTGAAGTGCTGAGTGGGGCAATGCTTCAGCTCATCCAAACACAGCTCCTGAACTTGCCACGGTGCAGGGAAGCAAAGGGCTGAGGACACGTTACCCTTCCTGGGAACCTCACCCTGTTTAGATTTAAGGAGCCAGGCTTTGGACAGCCCCCAATGAGCCACCTCAAGGGAACTGAAGGCATGCAGCATGCCTGAAGGGGTTAATGCAAAGAACCCAGTACTGAGCGGCTTCCAGCCTGTTCCTGCTGCGTGTGGGGCTGGGATCATGTGGGTACCTAGGATAGAATCTCTCACAGAGTCTCCCTGCTGTGCTGGAAGGAGCTCAGGGATCTGAATCTACTTTCTTTTGCCTTTCACAGGCATCACCTGAGAGCAGCAGTGTGGGGGCTGCCCAGGGTGCTCGTGACCCCTCGTTGAGTAGAATGAGGTGTCTTTGGAGGGGCATTTTGAGCAGAGCACAGCTGTTCGGGAAAAGGGGGGGCAGGGCACTTCCAGTTTGGGCTGGGTGAGAGCCCCCAGCCCTGGTCCTATACCTAATATCCTCAAATGAAAAACGATGGGTAGTGTAGAGGACCCTGAGCAGAGCATCACAGCTTCCATGATCTATCTCCAATGGCTTCATGAGCTCTTTTTGTGTTACCCTAGCCAGGGAGAGTTGTGAACAAAAGAAAAGCCCTAAATGAGTGGTGACCTTCAGGAAAATCAAGTTTAACTGGGCCTGAGAGCTTAATATAAAGAGTGTAGTTTGCTCATGATGGCGGTTGAGGGGTCAGGGGTTGAGCGAGATTTGGTCTGGCTGTGTTGCAGTGCCACATTTCCCAAGCAGGACGTGGAAACACAAGGACACCAAGGACCATCTCGGGCTGCCCTGGGGACATGTGAGCAGCTGGCGCACTTGGTATTCCCTGGGGAGTCTGCAACTCTGCTGCTGGCCTCTTACCAGCTGGAGACCCCTTCTCAATACCCGCAGGCAGCGGGATGATGGGTTGGATTGACCGGGTGGTTCCTCAGCCCCCGGTGCCCCATCAGACAGAGGAGACCCCTCGTGCCCCAGTGCAGGAGCCAGAGCCAGTCAAGGTGAGCAAGGAGCAAGTTTGGGGGGCAGTGGGGACCCCGTGAGAGTCCATCCCTGGCACTGCAGCACCCAGGGATGCTCCACAGCATCCCCAGGATAGTTGGGGACCAGGATGTTTCCCTCTCTGAGTTGCTGGGGGGCAGCAGGAAGGATGTGGAGTCCCTGGGGTTTGTAGCTGCCTGTGAGCAGGGACACTGTCCACTGTGCCTCTCTGACACCTTTTGCCTTTTGCCCTGAAGGCACCAACGGGAAAGGCTGGTGGCCCCACAAATGCTGCTGACCGTGCACGGACTGAGGGTAAGCCCTAGGGCGGGGGACACACTGGCTCAGGCTGCAGGTCAGCATTCCTTTACCCCTGCTCCCCTCCTGCCCGGCACACCGGGGGCTGCCAGAGAGGTGATGGGAGCTTGCTTTTTTTTTCCCCCTTGCTGTTATTGAAGAAACGGAAAAGAAAGTGGAATTTGCGGTCCCTGAGGAGACAGGCTCTGTGTTTGACAGGTATGGCCCTTGCACCCTCCAGTGTGCAACACGGTTTGCTTGGGATTTTGCTTTTTTGTCACGGGCTGAATGCCTGGGATACGGTTTCCAGCCTGACTCACCCCCTTCCCTGGCAGCGTGGGGAGCAGTGTGCTCTCCTGGCTCTCCTATGGGTTGGAGAAGGTGATTCCCCAGCCAGCCCCACCCCCAGGGATGCTGCAGACGCTCGGGAAGAGCTTTGAGACAAGCGTTGACATTGCCGATCAGGTAGGCGACAGATCTGGGCAACAGTCTGGTGTATTTGGGCTTCTACTTCTTTTTACCTTTTCTTCTTCTTCTTTGTTTCCTTCCTATCACTACCCCAGTGCTAACTGGGAGCACTAAACCTGCCCTGCATGGGTTTCTGCCTTCATCCATCCCTGGGGAAAGGGCAGGTTTCCCTACCCACCTGGCGGGATGAGCCGCTCCTTGGCTGTCAGGCGGTGACAGTCTGTTTGGCTTTTCAGACGGAGATCCAGATCCTGGACGAGGACGAGGATGGTCTGGGTAAGGAGAGATGGTAGCTTCAGTTCGCAGCATCCTAGGGGCCTCTCTAGGACTCCCACATCCCACTTTCCTGACTGATGATGCCAGCACTGTTGTCCTCTTGAGCTGGCTGATGGGGGGACCAGAAGCTCCCAGCAGTGCAGTTCCCCATGCCCATGGCAGTGCTCTCATTGCAGAGATAACTCCCTTCGATCCAGATGAGGAAGGCTCTGATGTTGACTCGGATACCGGCACAGAGCAGTGGTGGGTCCACAGCGAGGCTAGTGGGAGGATGTGGGAGGGGGGGAGGGTACAGGATCTGCTCCCCGAGCATGGCTCTCTTCCCACAGGGCAGGAAAACGAGTGCTCACCTGGCTGTCACAGGGCTTCGAGAGGATTGTGCCACAGCCAGATGGGGCAAAAAAGTCAGAGGTGAGCACTGCACAATGCAGGAATACTGGGGGGCTACTCAGCAGAGGTGACAGCAGGGCAGGCTCCTGCACAGCCCAGCTGGGACCTTGGGGAGGAAAACCCCAAGGGAATCCAGCAGAGCAAAAGAGTCCTTGGGGCAGGGGACATGCCCACCTGGCTGCAGGCAGCGCTTTGCCATGTCCATCTGTCCCTTCGCAGGCAGACCCGAAGGAGCAGAAGTGTGAAGCCAAGGTGGAAGGTGAGCCATCAAATCCCCCTTCCCTGGGTGCCCCTTTCAGAGGAAACATTGCCTCTGAGAACCCAGCTGCAGGCAGGCACTGGTACTGGGGCTGCCCTTTCATCTCCATGCCCAAGACTCCCACTGTGCTAAGAGGGGTGGGCACATGGGTCCCAGAATCACAGCACTGTCCCCCAAACTTCTCATGTCCTTGTCCCAGACTTGAGTCCCTGGGGGAGAGGGTGCCAGAAAGGTCCCCCAGGCCTGACCTGCTGTGGGAGGTGACCCTTCCTTGCTTGCTCTGCTTCCCAACAATTTACAACTGCTGCATTGCCTATTCCCCTTCTTCCAAATAAACCTGAGCAGGCACAAAAGAGACTAAAACCCAGGCAAAGCCAAAACCCAGCGTTTCAGCTACCCAGAGCACAGCAGTGGCAGCAAAGCCAGCAGCAGCCAAGGGGCAGCCAAAGCCAGTGACCACCCCTCAGTCTTCGGCCGTGGAGCGCAGGAGGTAACCACAGTGGCAACTTCTGCCTGGGTCTGGTGGCCGGAGGGACAGCTGCTGTGGGAGCAAAGGCTCTGGCTGTCAGTTCTAACAGTGATTTCTTGTCACCAGGGTGTTCACCTGGTTTGTCCAGGGGCTGGAGAAGGTGATGCCACAGCCAGTGCCCAGGGAGAAGCAGGACACACAGGTATGCTGTCTGCTGGATAGGCAAAGAGCATGGGAGCACCATATCCCTGGCAGAGAGGGCATCCCCTGCCATGCAGATGTCACTAGATCAGTGCTAGGACCTGCAGTGGTTTGGGTTGTCACTCAGCTCCTTCAAGAAAACGAATCCCCATGACCTGCTTAGGTGATGAAAACAAGGATTAGGCTTCTATGCAGCAGAAGAGCCTTTAGTGTATGCTTTCTTTACTGTTTCCTTGCCTTTCTGTGCAGCACTGGGTGGTATCCAGGCCCTGGCATCTAACCTAGGTGCAGTCCAAGCTCTAAGAAGATGCAGCAGCAGCAGCTTTACACACTCTGCTTTCCTTCCCTTGCCCCAGGGCAGCTCGCCAATGTGCTCCTGCCCTGTACCATCCTGCATGGAGATGCTTGTGCCCACGGTCAAGCCATCCAACTTGCCACTAGAAATCACATGGGGTATTTAGGGTACAAGGGCCACTTTTACTGAAAATGGAGCATGGAGGGTAAAAATTTAGGGTTACTGAAAATGGGCAATGTCTCATATTTCCCTTTTCTTCCTGGCAGGGAATGGCCACAGCAACCTCAGGTCCTGTGGAACAAAGTAAGTGTTTTCTCCATCTTGCCATGACGGTTTGCTTGCCAAGCTTGTCAGAAAGGTTATTGGGAATAGGGGTTACTGATATCTTTTATCCCCTGGTCTGCCCTGGGTGCCAGCTTGGGAGCCCCTGGAATCCCCTGGGGAAGCCCTGTGAGGCTGTTGATGCTTGAGAAGAGGGAACAGTTGCAGGGTTGTGATGCAGGCTCATAAAGCTCAGGCTGTAGGAATCTCCAAGTGCAGCTTCCCACATCCTCTCATCCTGAGTTTTGAGGTTAGTGCTGATATCAAGGTCTGTCCTCGAGCTGTGCTGGAGGATGTTTGCTAAGCTAATGGGATTTGATCAAAGGATTACAAGGGAATTCAACCCCACTGCCTTCTTCTCCCCCTTTGGCATGTTTGCTGCTGAGCTGGAGAGTGTTTGCCAAGCCTGGTGTGAGATGTCTAGGAAGCTACCTCAGGAAAACAAAATCCTGATGACATGTTAGATATGAGTCTGCATGGTTGTGGGAAAACATTGCAGGGTTCACACTGCTTCTTGCCTGCCCATGGAGGAGAACAAGCACCAGCTCTGCAGGCAGACAGGCTTGGGTCCCCCATGTCAGCCACGCGGGGGAATGCTGAGCAAAATGCAGAGCCACGGTTGCCTCTATGGATGGACTAGGCAGGGTTACACAGCCCCATGCAAGTATTGTCCCTGGGAAGGAGTGGCTGGTTGGGTCCTGGAAGCTGCTGATATGAGCAGGGATGAGGCACACAGAGGCTGTGCATTCCCC